TGGTATCGATCGTTTTTAACATTTGTATTAATTCAGTTCACCCATTTTCCCATTTGATGAACAAGTACCTTTATGATAGCTGCTTCGTTTCTACGTCGTTTTCACTTTGTTTCCATCAGTTGGTGCAGGGTACGCAGTTCATTTTCAAGAACTTAACGTACCTATTTGATGATGTATTATGGTAATGGTGCTGTGGCTTTTATCTAATTTAGGTTGTCGGATGCAGATCGGCCTGTTAACCATAGCGTATTAGCCACGTTTAGGTAGATTATTTTTATGGCAGTTCAAACATATACATATATCTGTTCTAAAATGAGTTATTTATTAATATTGATGTTGATGTTTTTAAGTATAGAATCTGAAGAGCTAATCGAAACGGGTTATTCTCTAACTTCGACGTTTTAAACTGTGCAGAATCTGTTTGATAAGATAATTGAGACAGATTATTCGTTAACTTCAACGTTTTATACTGTGTAGAATCTGTTTGAGGACATAAACGAAACAAATTATTCTCTAATTTTGGCCTTGTAAACTGACATATATTAATGCTCCTCTTAATGACATTCACACAGATGTAACACATGTTACTTCATACGCATGCCTACTGGTCCTCATTACCCGCGAAGATCCGGGTTAGAATTGATTTTCAGCAACTACAATTGGGCTGCGTTAACATGGTGAACTGATTTCTGAAGATCATCTGTGCCTAACTATCTAGGGTACGTTACTTCACATTATCAATATTTTACATGTAGCTTGGCAAATGTCAAAAAGAGTAAATGAAGTCTACACTTGTTCATATAACGGTCAGTTTTGTATGATGCATTATATAATCGTGTACAGTGAGTGAGTGTGTTTGGTTTTACGCCGCTTTTAGCAATATTCCAGCAATATGACGGCGGGGGACTCCAGAAATGGGCTTCACACATTGTACCCATGTGGGGAATCGAACCTGGGTCTTCGGCTTGACGAGCGAACGCCTTAACCACTAGGCTACCCCACCGCCCCTAATCGTGTACAGAATGCCTTATCTACGGTACATGTAACTTGATTTAGATCGAGGACGAATATCACTTCGTACCAGTGTGTCTGTCACCTCTTACGACAAGCATGGGTTACTGAAGATCAATTCTAACCCGGATCTTCACGGCTCCTAATTCATATGAATAAAATGTTGATTTGACCATTCTAAGTCCATACATGTGAATTGTAGTATATATGTCGCTCGCTGATGTACATATTAGTAATTTCAGCAAATTTTAATGTATACTAACGGAACAAAGAAGTTTCAAGCTGGTCCATAACAAATATATTAATCCTGAAGTTCAAGAAAGAATCTGTCAATGCATAATCATGAAGTGCTCAAGGTCGCGCTTCACAATGTGGACGTGTATGTTGATGCACGATGCACAGATAGGATTAATCAACAATAGCCATTTAATCAATCAATTTAAAAATTATTACACAACTCACTACATATATAATTAGTTCATATCTTCCCAATGAACTCAAAGTATATAAAACAACTATTTCGAAACACAGTCACACTTTTAGAGCGACCTCTGTTATAATTCCTAAAAAACTACCAACACTATACTTGTATGCATAACCTGTACTTGTATGGGAACCGTGCCAATTTACACTTGTCAGAGGGATACATAAACTACCAGTTGTCTGACTTCCATTTTTTTTGAGAGCCGTGCAGCGCTGAGTGGGTAAGATAGCTAACTTTGTGCGCTGGCGATAAGGTGCCTTACTCTGAGTGTGTGGGTTCGAATCCCGGATGGGACACCACCTCAATAACCATAGGGTGAGTGAGTGAATTTAGCTTTACGCCGCACTCAGCAACATTCCAGCTTTATATACTCGAGTCTGGGCCAGACAATCCAGTGATTAACAGCATGAGCATCGATCGGCGCAATTGGGAACGGTTCACTCCCAATAGTTAGACATCCCATTAGTTAGACATCCCAATTGTCAGACACTGGACTAGAGGTTATTTGGGGCAACACCCATATATAGATGGGAATGTACCAATTGGATATTTCAACCAGTTAGTTGAACCTAAGGAAAACTGTTATTGTGTATAAATATCTTGGAGTTATTTTTGATAGAAAATGTTCTTTCAAATTATCTATATCAAATCTCTGTCAACAAGCTACTAAAGCCATGTATTTTATTTTACGCAGAAGTCGAATGTTAAACTTATCAATACAATGTCAACTATATCTCTTTGATTCAATGGTGAAACCAGTCTTGCTGTACGGTTGTGAAATATGGGGATATGCTAATTTAAAATAGAAAATTACATGTATATTATTACCTGTAAAGAAAAGTACCCCATTGTATATGCTTTATGGTGAATTAGGTAGAGTCCCACTTTTTGTTGATGTTAAAACTCTTATGTTAACTTTTTGGTCTAAATTATTTTGAAACAATTCAACTAGGTTTTTTCAATCTTTTGTTCTATTGTATATAATCTTCATAATGAATGTATTCACAGCTGTAGCTGGATTTCATGTACAGAGAATAGTTTTTGATAACATTGGTTTAAGTTATGTATGGCTTTCACAGTCTCTTATTTCATCTTCCTGGATCCAAAATACAGCTCATTCAATTCAAATCTGGAGCTCAGAGGTGGAAAATTACCGAAACGTCGACCTTCATAAGCGTGTCAAAACAAAATAGCAAGGGAGGAGCCGACAGTCTCCATGCACCACTGACTGGTTACAATGGGATTAAAATGTTGTTACACCCACATGGGTTATACAGAAAACAGGAACGACAAAAAAACGGATTCAGCATTTAGTCATTTATGAACAGTAAAGCACTAAATTGTAAATGGAATTATAACATTTCAGCCGGCTCATGGTTGTGCGCTGATGGCTGTTTCGAAAGAATATCATTGATCGTAGAAACAGTCGAATTGCAATCATTTTGGGGGCATTTCTTTCTGTTGCTTATTCTATACTTATATCCCCTCATACACAGGTATCTACCGCCCCACGAAGTGGGAAGAAAGTAATGATCAAGCTGTGCATTTGCCATGATGGAAATGATGTTTGTTAGATATACGTCATGCTGCCTTATACGTGTGATATGATTGGAATAATTAGTGGCATTGAGTGAACTCACTAAATAATAATATTCCAGTAGGTGAACAGATCTCATACTGGGGCACCCGGCAATTCAGCTGTAAAAATGCCGTCAGAAACCGTGCCTGTAGGTTCTTCGTGGGTGTTAACAGTAAAACTCCAAATATTGCATTCAGGGGTGAAATGGGCTGGTGTTCTGCCTTTACCAAACTTAAAGTTGAAATTGTGAGATTTTGGCATCAGCTGCATTTTAACAGTCATAGTACAATACTGAATACCATTAACAGAGGGTCTACTTATAAATTCAGAAAACCATGGTATAATAATGTACTGTCACTACTTAGTTCTTTACAGCTCCCAGTCACTGATGTATACAGCATGTCTCGGTCAGATCTCAAGTCTGTGCAGGAATGGCTCTTAATGTTAGACAATAGAGAATGGCTCTCAGAGCTGTGGAATGACAGAGGACAAGTGAATGGTAACAAATTACGCACATTTCGTCTATTTAAGCAACATCTTTTTACAGAGAGCTACGTCAACACTATTTTGGTCAGATCGCAACGTAGTTTACTTGCAAAATTCCGTTGTGGTACATTACCTTTACAGGTCGAACTGGGGAGATTTAAACGACCTAAGACCCCTTTGGAAGAACGCACTTGCAGTAAATGTAACAGCAATGAAGTCGAGGATGAAATTCACTTCTTGGTAGTTTTTATTCGGATATCAGATATGACTTATGGAACGCTGTCACGGCAGTATACCATTCCTTTACCCTGTTCACCCTTGTTGACCAGGTCACTCTCATTATGCAAGATAGCCAGTGTATTAAACAAGTAGCCGCTTTACTCCTACGCATGTTTAGGCGCCGCCAACTCACAAGTTAACCTACCTCTTCACTATTTACCTTAACCTTGTTGTTCTCCTAACGTCGGGGACCAACTTAGCAATCCTAGCAACATTACACTATTTTAATACTACTCTGTTCCACCAACTATAGCTGTTAGTAATTTATTATCAAATTTTAACTTCTTTTAAATGCAATATAGCCTGTCATAGGCCGTATTGGCCGGATGTTGTACTCTATTTTATGCCAATACTTTATGATGCTTTTTATGATGTACAACATGTGACACTTTAATAAACAATCTTCTTCTTCTTCTTAAATTAGTGATCACTTTTCGCACCTGAGTTCAACTTTGGGTGACACCCAGACTATACTCCTTTGAAACAACAACGCTAAAACAACATATCACATCAAAGGGTTTTTACCCGCAACCCTAGGGGTCGACGTTTCGGTAAGACACCACCTTGGGAACCGATATCTTGTATCAACCAAGCCAGCGAGCCTGACCACCCGATCCCTTTAGTCGCCTCTTACGACAAGCATGGGCTGCTAAAGGTTCATTCTAACCCGGACCTTTACGGGTCCCATAAGTATAGAATCTGTAATGTACTGAGAAAGTGTAATTCCAAATATAACATACATTACAACATACTTCGTTAAAGAAAAAAGGTATACTTAAGTGAGTACCCTTCAACCACCACTCAATAATAAACAATAAATAAAACAAACACAAAAAATACAAAATGAAAACCTTTCAAAGCGAACATCTTTCAGCATGCATCCGTCTACTGTATGTTACTATTTCTATATTATTGCACTGTTCAAATGTTTTTTGGTTAATAACTCGGTGAATACATGATTTATGAGAATACACTCCTGCTTGCTTTTCCACCTCTTCCGCAAAGAGATCACAATCACAGTGCACGCGCGTAATGCTGTGTAAACAACGTCATTGTCGTTGAAGCTTGAGTGGTCGTATAGCGATAGCCCCGAAGCGATTGAATCAATAAAAAGGTCTATTAAGAGCAGAATCAACCACATGGCATGACAACTGTACTGTATCATGTTCTCTATTAACTCTCCGTGTGTGTAATGAATGTTCTGCAATGGACAATGTTCGACGATCAAAACGAACAAACACATTGGGATAATTGACATTCACATAGACAACAGCTTGACTACATAGAAATCACAATAATAGACTGTTCGCTGATTCAAGAGGGAGTGAACCATGTGTCTTCCTTCCAGGTATCTGGATACAGGTAGCAGGTAAGTACATTTTTCTAACATATGTTACACTGTGGATCACACTTTTCCAGATAATTACAGATTCTAGTACTTTTGTTTTAGTTTGGATTCCAGACTTTAAGAGTAAGGTACCTGATCGACAGCACGCAAAGTAAACGATGTAACCCACTCCATAAAAATGGAAGCCGGACGTGCTCTGTGTACCCATCTGACAAGTGTAAATTGACGCGGCTCCCTGAAGCTATGGTTACACAGTGCTATTTAGTGATCAAATGTGGCATATGGAATATTTAGGATTAGACCTACTCAGTTAAGTACAGATAACATTTAACATATGTTTATTTTCATTTTATTATAAGTGCTGGTGATTTGGTATTAGGTATTCCGTCTATGTCCTCAGACAAATTCTGTCCTCGGAAATTTAAGCTTCGATAATCATTTGAATAGGTAGTTGTAACACTTTCTCGACAAAAGTGGTTTATATAAAGTTTATATGTCAACATCGTACATTTCATACATTATCATCACATGTATCTAGTGAGAGATTGAAAAAAAACAAATTATCTTCACTAACATGTCATCGTGGTATCCATATGTTAACGTAAACCATAGCGACAATACTAAGTGATCCTATCCAGAATTAGGCTAGGTTGTAGTGATTTAAAAGCACACTTGTTTGACAGATTCCTGATTGATGAATCCCACTTGTTCATGTGGCCATAACAGAGAAGATGCTATCCACTTTTTTCTGTCATGTCCCAGCTATGCCCATGAGTTTAGACTTGACAAATACTTTGTCCTTAACAACCTCAGCGTGTATACTATACTTTACGGCACTGACGAACTATCTCCTTTAGACAATGAAAACCTTATAAAATCGGTTCAGAATTACATAACTGAAACTAACAGCTTTACGGAATTCAAGTAACAACCTATAAACATAAAATGCACTTGGTATCTTGCTCTTTTTTTCAATTTCTTTATGTTCATTTTGTTTTGATTCATTCATTAATTTCCTCCATAGAATTATGTCAAGATACAACGAACTATATGCGGAGAAGCATTGACATAGGCCATATGGCCTGTTTGCTCACCCTATTTCCATTTTGTTATGTCGTGTATTATGATAAATGTAAACATTAATGGAAATAAAATATTGTTTAAATCACGTAAACCATAGCAAAAGAATTTACCCAAACCTCAATGAAACTATCCAGAGAATTGGAATATTAAAAGGCAAATCTCGTCACTGACTGTATTAGATGTTGAATTTGACGCTGGGGTATTCCGTTCCACATCATAAATCGGCTTCTCCTCACCATTCTTTCTGCCTGGGAAGCCTGGGACTCTCGGGCTTCTTCACGGTGTGTGGCGATCAGCTCCCGTCGTTTGTCCAATTCAGCGTGGAAGGTTATGTGTCAAAAAGTGCAGCATAGGGTGAGCGGTTTATACCAGAATGTTGAGCAGCGTTTTGGAGACAAAATTGGCTTAAGTACTACCCCCTTTGCCCCTTTCTCTTTCTCTGACACTCTTGGCGTAATGATTTGTACAGTTCTACAGTGTCTCTCAGGACAGGACAGGACAGGACAGGACAGGACAGGACACGATCATCCGAAGATCAAACATATTTTATACATACATGTATATATACAAGAAAGGGGCAAAGTTACAAAATTGATATAGATGTATATGCAATAATATTAATCAAGATGATTACCTAAAGCTACAATTTACATAAGAACATACATTTACATGTGTATACAATAAATTTATACAAGAAACTTCCGAAGGTGGACATACTTCATTATACATCTGCAGAGATCAATCAGTGTAACATTGTAGGAGATGTCGTCTTATTCGGTAAATGTATGAAGAAAATCGTAAAATGATTGTTTCCCATGTCCCTTGATCAACATTATCATTACAAGCAGTTTCACCTCCAAATAGAAAAGACAGCATATCGACTTCATCCTGTGATTCAAAGGCAACATAGGTTTCCACATCAAGAATGTCAATCATAAACACACAATATTCGTTTCTCTCAATGTTAAGTTATTCTCAGTGTAGGAGTATATAAAAATCATAATCAGAAGTATATTTGTTACATAGGTTTCATTCCTTAGATATTTTACCACGTGATGAGATTTTAATACATATTTGGAGAGCAGACTTATCATTGGGGAGGAAGTATGCCAATTGCCAGAGGATATGATAGTTTAACCTGCAATGGACCCGTGCATAAAGCGTCATGTTTGTATTAATTGAGGTTTGCATAACCCATCTGTGTTCTTCATAACTATGTATTGATGTATTTACAATTTTTCGCCATTCGTACTTTGGAGGAAAACACCTTCTTTAATATATTTTTGTATGTGTATATGTAAATTATATTTGTAGAGTACTGATAGTAGATCATCAGAGATTGAAGGGGATTTTGTAGATGTGGTTATTGCTGCACAAAATATGATTTTAGACGTATAATAAGTGTATTTATATAGCGCCGTATTCCATGCATCAGTATGCTCTAAGCGCACAGGGGCGGTGAGGTAGCCAAATGGTTAAAGCGTTGGCTCGTCACGCCGAAGACCCGGGTTCGAATCCCCACTTGGGTACAATGTGTGAAGCCCATTTCTGGCGTCCCCCGCCGTTATGTTGCTGGAACATTGCTAAAAGCGGCGTTAAAACAAACGCAGTCAGTCAGTCAGTCTAAGCGCACAGGAATAAAACTAAATACAAAGTCTGGATGTCACACAGTTCAGAGTTCAGGCACAGAAAGCTTGTTGAAACAGAAAGGTTTTTAGTGTTCTGCGGAATGGCTGAAGAGATGGTGAGTCTTTCACATGTACTGGGAGGTTGTTCCACTCTACATCTGCGATGTAGGAAAAGCTTCTCTGTCCATAGCGAGCTGTCCTTTCCTTAGGAACTGTGAGGAAGCTTTGGTTTGAGGATCTGAGTGTCCTGGAGGGATGGTAACCTCAATCATGTCACGGAGGTATCCTGGAGATGTGCCAGAGACGCCCTGATAAGTCAGACAGAGGACTTTGAACTTCAGTCTGTACTCCACTGGTAACCAATGTAGGTTCTTCAGAACGGGTGTTATGTGATCGAACCTGCGTGTGAATGAGACAATTCAAGCTATTGTGTTTTGGATTCTCTGAAGTTTAGATGTGACAGTTTTTGGTGCTCCAGCAATGAAGTTGTTGCAGTAATCGAGTCGGGAAAGGATTAGTGACACTGCTAATGTTGCGGCAGACTGAGTAGTGATGTATTTCCGAATAGAGCTGATGTTTCTGATGTGAAAATAGCACTGTTTTGAGAGCTGGTTAGCATGGCTTTCCATCGTCAACTCAGAGTCCAATACGACGCCCAGGTTTTTTGCAGAATGAGAAACTGCGATAGATGAGGAACCAAATGTAAGTGTTTTTAGTTCAGTCTGTTCCCGTCTGGAAGGGGGGCCAATCAGAAGTACTTCATGTTTCTCATCGTTGAGTTTGAGCTTATGGGCTGTCGTCCATTTCTTGATATCCTCATAGCAGAGTGCCATCCTGGAGCTTGCAGCAATTCCTGAAGATGTTTGTGGCTTGAACATATCAAGAAACTGAGAATCGTCTGCGTATAAGTGTCGATGGAGTCTGAGATTGTCAATGATGTCAAAGAGTCTTAGTATAAAGTGTGAACAGGACAGGTCCCAACACTGAGCCTTGTGGAACTCCACACACTAATGTTGAGGTGCATCCATCGATGGACACTGCCTGACTTCTATCACTGAGGTAGGAATCAAACCACTGCAAAGCAGAATCTTTAATCCCGATCTGACTCTCAAGACACTTTAGGAGGTTTCTGTGGTCAACAGTGTAAAATGTTGCACTGAAATCTAAAAGAACTAACAGAGCAACATTTCCTTTATCGACACCGTTTCGAGCAGGGCTGTTTCCGTGCTGTGTCGTGGACGATAAGCTGATTGAAAGTGCTCTCGTAGATAGTACTTGTCAAGGTGTTCAGACAACCGAAGACACACTGCACGTTCTATTATCTTTGAGAGGAATGATAAGTTCGACACTGGTCTATACTTTTTGAGCATATCTGGGTCAAGAGAGGATTTCTTCAGCAGTGGTTTTAGTACCGCAGTCTTGAGTGAGTTAGGCATAACTGCAGAAGTCAGGCTGAGATTTACAATGTTGGTTATGGCAGGAACCAGGATGTTGGCATGATCAAGTAGTACCTTGGTTGGAATAGGGTCAAGCATACAAGATGTTCGTTTGGCCGTCTTTATGATGGTCAAAATCTCATTGTGAGAGAGGGCTTGAACTGACGCAAGGGCTCCCCATCACAACATGCGAAATATCATTATGGATCAAATCTACATTTTTTTTAAACGACGACAATGTATGAACATAAAATTGTATGGCATGAGATAAACGATGTCCAAATGTAACATAATTGAATAATTAATCCAGTCATTATAGGAATCGACCTTCAGATGAGCACATAATGGGTGATAATACAATATATTATTTATGAAAGAACTTGGTACATGTGGTACATAAATTGCCACTGAGGAGGAAATCTACTTAGAAATCCACGGTATTATCAAGTTTTGGTTAAATCTAAAGACTGTGGATATGTCTTGCGTACACCTTTTTTGTACTGTGTTCCAAAGCTCCATAACAATCTGCATCTTTTGAGGTTCAATCGAGTGTGCTCTTTTTATCAAGACTCCAAAGGGGGAACAAATGATTAGCATTTATGACACGTGACAACAGTGTATAAAGGAAACCCTTATCTTTACACATATACCTGGTGTCATCGCGATTTAATAGTGATTCACAAACACATGCTCATGATAAAGTCGAAATTGAACAACTCTAATCTTTGCAGAAATTGCTTGTGGATGAGAAAAGGATTTCGATTTGTCAGCAAATATTGACACTATTGTAAATGGTATTAAACTAAGTTTTAACGTCTACATGTGAACATATCACGAGCGAACAAATCCTGATATTAAGATATCTAACGTTAACATGAGTACACCTTGTGTGAACATACATTTCTGAAACCAATCTTAATATGATTGTTATCTGCGACCTTAAGAGTACACTTCTTGAGAACATATACTTCTGAAACAAATCGTTATCATTTGAGTAATAAAGTACTCCAAAACGTCGTGTTCCTCAAAATATAGAAGTTGATATCAATAAATTCATGCCTGTATGTGCATCGCTTCCAAATGTTGTTCAAAGACTCCAAATCGTAACCGGCGTCTATAACAATCCAGTATTTTGTGTACACTTTTGTAATTACAAATCTTGACAGTGTTATGATAGTGTTTCGTTTTGAATTTGTAATATCATTGATTAGGTAATAGTTGTAAGAAATCTTCAATCAGTAGGTATGTTCTCACTGTTAATGTCAAGACTCTGGTGAGTTAATATTTTATATTTGTGACCCAATATTTTAGATTTTATGACTCATTTAGATTGTACTAGAAATCTGTATTTCATTTATTGTAGCTTGCTCATTGTTTGTTCAATATATCATTGAATAGCTTAGACATGTTTGTTCTGTTGTTTATTGTGTCTTGTTTTCTGTTATTTTGACAATGTCAAAACATTGAAGGATCTTTTTTATAATGTTGATAATTGAATTTTTAAAGGCAATAAAATTATTAGATACATTTTTAATATTTTTTGCAAATAGATAAATGGTATTTTTTTATTTGGTAGTATGAATTAGCAACTGAAAAAAATTAACTCACTCACTCACAGTTAATTTGGGGTTGTTTTTTTGTCTTTGCTTTTGTTTTTGTCTTATTTGTTGTTGGTTGTGTTTTGTTTTTGTTCTTTGGGGTGTGTCTTTCTTATCTAATATTTTTTCATATGTGTTTGTTTGTTGTTTAACGCCGTACTGAGCAATACTCCCGGCTGCGTGGCGGCGGTCAGTAAATAATTGAGTCTGTACCAGACAATCCAGTGATCAACATCATGAGCATTGATCTACGCAATTTCGATGCGATGGCATGTGTCGACCAGTTCGGCCACACTGACCACCAGATCGCCTGTTGTGACAAGCATGGGTTGCTGAAAACGAAATCTAACCCGGACCTCCATAACATGTCTGTATGTTCTAGACGATGTAACAGTATCACAGTTACATATTCTTTGAGCAAATATACATTTTATGTCGACCATACAGTGAATGCAAATCACAGATTAATACGAACACGTTTATCATCATTACAACTATAAACTCCAGCCTTACTGTCTTATATAGTTTGTAACACAAGCAAGGTTTCACTTTGATAATTGCAACATATTGTCCTTATATTTCAGGCAAAGACAAGATGTATATTATCTAACACTATTGTCTTCAGTCTGTCTGTACATAATATGTTATATTATTACTCTACTTTCTGATATTTTACAAAACAATATCTTTTAATTTCAGATAAGAAAATATATCAATGGCCTTCACTCAAGTCCTTCTTTTTCTACCACTGGTTCTGACGTCATCTACAATTATTAGCGATGACGTCAAATCCCTGATATACACGCTGCAAACTAAGTACTGTGGACGACATCTCTGCTCTCCAGATACATCCTATACTCCTCCGATATGTGGAGTTCAGGATCCAGGCAGATCGGGGAGGACCACTATAGGCGTTGAAAACACGACAGCTGAAAACTATACTTCAGACCCGTCCAATGAATTTAACACAGAGACCAGTCCAGAATTGACTACCATCATCTCAGAAACCCACACGTCGGAATCACCTGTTGAATCCGGACATATTCTAAACCAGCTGCAAAGGTGTGAGCCTTGTCACCGGTGTTCATGTGACGACAGCTGTGTGATATTTGGAGATTGTTGTGTTGATAAAGGGATTGGCGGGAAATATTTCTTTGATTGTGAACTTGTTGAAACATATGATAACGGCATTAATTCAGGGTTTTTCCTGATTGTGACGAAATGTCAGAAAGATGCTCCCAATTACACTGAAGACCTTGCCGAGAAATGTGAACATGGAAAACTGGGATACGTCCAAGATGGCCGCCTGGTGACGGCGCCACATCCCTTCAACACCAGCGTCACCTTTAGAAACAAGTACTGTGCTGCATGCTACGATGTCAACAATTACACATCATGGGATGTGTATATAAGTTGTGATGAAGACATCGATTCATCCAATTACACAAATATAAACTCCTTGATACGTTCAGCAAAGGACTTGAATTGTTTGGTTACAACTAATATAAAAAAAGGGGGCCACGCTAGGTCATGTGCTATGGATAGTAACATGGTATCTACTTGCAATGTTACAGGACTTTGGCGAGAATACAACAAAAGCATAGAAGAGGCATGCCACTCTTATTACAATCCAACACTGAACAACTATAAAAACATCTTCTGTCATCTGTGCAATGGAAGACCAGAACAGGAGCTGAAATGTCCATCAGTGTGTGAAATATACCTGTTGAAACCAGTGGTGGTAATGCCCTTTTCTGCACTGCTCAATTTCGAAAATTCGGATGCTGAAGTTGTTGCAAGTCCGAAGGGACAAAGGGGTAGTTACCAGGCCATAAAACGATTCGGAGATCAGACACATGCTCAGTGCAGAGATAGAGATATCTATGACTCATATTCCGTGAGTATTACATAAATGCTATTTCATCCAAGTTCGTATGTAGGATAGATATGAAGTGGCTTAGGAAAACGTGAATGGGATTTTATTATTTATGTCAACTGGTTTTCTTCATTGGTCAATGATATATTTTAGCTGTAACTTCGGATGGCCCAGGTTCACATTGCTATATTGGTAAAGATATGTGATTTGATAACATATACACCCAATTATAATATCATGCATTCTAAATCGTTGACGTTCAGAACAGCTGATGTGATGACGTTCAGTGTAATGTAATGCTCAATTTAGGGATTCTTACGTGTCGATAAGTCGTATTCCTTTCTGGGCATAATGCAGATTATATAATTGTTATACTTCCTGAGTTTCCACTGCTCTCCATTATATCACTGACTGACTGAGTTTGGTTTGACGCCGCTTTTAGCAATATTCCAGCAACATCACGGCGGGGGACACCAGAAATGGGCTTCACACATTGTGCCCATGTGGGGATTCGAAGCCAACGCTTTAACCATTAGGCTACCCCACCACCCCCATTATATCATGACCATGACAATGACCATGACCACTACACTTGCTATCTTCATTGACCAATACCGTAAAAACTAAAATTTTGCAACTCTTTCATTTCAGAAAAAGTGTCGTGAAAGGTATTGCCCTTTATCTGAAAGTAACGATACTGCTACCTGTATCCAACTGGTATCAGATGAACATTTGATCCTCACAACATGGAATGTCACACTGTTATATAAGGAAGGTATAACCATTTTACCTTTCATTCCATTCAATTTTCTTAATCCTTTGGGTAACTATTTCCACAATAATTATCAAAAAATACTAAGTGAATGTGGATTTGTTGTTCATGACATGAGAGACACGCCTTATGCCCGTATAAAGAATGCAGACAGCCTTGTTGTTGATGAAGGTCATTTACAGTTCACACTTCTTCTCCTGCCGAATTACACCATTGCGTCTTCACGAGAATGTTTAGCTGCTTTAAAGAGTGTCACATTAAACACAACCCATGAAGGGAAACCATTACAAGTGGAAGTTCACCCTTTCACAACGCACAGACATGTACAGGACAAGCTGGCGTTGTTGCCATACGTATTCGGATTTGGATATGCATTTGAAATGAATCTTGACATGTTACTTAGTATCAACGTCCCACTTGCTTTTAATGTCACATGCTCAATGGCTGCGTTTGACAGTCGGGAAGTTAGCAATGTAAATAATTCTGTCTTCATACATGGAGATACAAAACTGAATGAACATGAGTACTTTTTGTCAAACTATGGAACTTACTTTATATGTCTGGATGCAGTTTTGAGAAGACGGGAGGAGATGGTGGCACAAGTCCCAACTAATATATCACAGACATTTCTTGCTTCTACAATAACAACAGGAGTATGCCTATCCCTCAGTTTACTCTTCCTCCTTCTAACTCTGTCAGTCTACATCCTCATTAAGGAGCTACACACAATACCAGGCCTCAACCTCATCCTGCTCTCATCTTCCCTCTTCCTTGCACAAGTGTTTTATCTGTTTGGAGCGGGAACTGTCACTACTCCGATCATCTGTACCGTTATCGGAGTCCTCATCCACTACTTCTGGCTTGTGTCCTTTGCCTGGATGAACATTTGTTGTCTACACATGTTCAGAGTCTTTACCAAACTCTTCTCCTCGCTACACTTAGCCGACGACAAGGTGTGTCTGATGATAAAGTATTCAGTTTGTGCCTATGGTGTCCCTCTGGTCATTGTAACGATGACTTTAACCATCACCTACATCCAGTCGGGCTACACTAATGTTGGCTATGGCGGTCCTGCTCTGTGTTTCGTAACTTCTGGATTGGTCTCAGCTGTTTCCTTTGGTGTTCCTGCTTGTCTAACAGTTGTCATCAACGTGGTATTGTTTCTCTGGACAATGACGTCTCTGCGATTCAGAAACAAAGAAAATCAGACTCTGGGAAAGAAACAGGCAAACGACATCATTACATTCTTCAAACTCTCGACTTTGACAGGTCTGTCATGGTTGTTTGGCTTCATTGGCTACTTGCTTCAGAGGGTGGAACTGATGTATGTGTTCACTGTGTTGACAGCGGGCCAGGGTGTCTTTATTTTCTTCTCCTTCGTTGTCAGCAGACGGATCCGCAAGCTTATCAGAGAAAAACTGAGACGTCTGTGGCTAAGAAATGAAAAGGGCCACGTTAACATGGAGGAAAGATCAAGTGCAAAAGATACGTCAATGTCTACCTCGTCCAAAAGAATGGAGATTCATTTCTGATAGAATCTCTATGGTTGAATAAAGATCCTTTGTGTCTATATACACTCTTCATACAAAAGAAACGCCGTTCATTTCGATATGTTTTGACAGCAATCGTCATTAAGACAATTCCTATGTTTGAATCCCGTTAATCATGTTGTGGCTGTTGTGTATTGCAAGCAAACGCATTCCAAAATGTGTTTGTAAACGTTTGTCATAAAAACAATATGAAAACGATACATGTAATGCACGTGCAATGTGTCGGCACATGAGTAGAGACATCGACTATAAAAGGCCGAAACAAATACATCATTTCATTACGAAATTTACGACGTAAACGAAGATTAAAAATGCCAGGATTGAATTCTACTGTTGGACCTGTCCTGACTACACCGATAACGATGTGTTCAAGGTGCAACAGGGTACAGGCATAGAACCTGGGGAACGCATGGAACGCGTTTGTTTCAGCGATTAAAATCGCAACGACGGGATGAGAGACAACGTGTGACGTTGGGAGACAGGTCGACAGATTTAGTGGAGAAAGCGTCATGGTATGAGGGGCCATGTCATACAGCAGTAGATCGGAGCTAGCGGTGATTCAAGGCAGTCTTACAGCAAATCGCTACATCGACCAAATCCTGCGATCTCACCTCCTCCGAATTTTTAACCGCCAGAGAGAGCTGTTTAAACACGTTAACACTCGACCCCACACAGTTCGTGTAACAGGTGCCTATCTCGCCAGTACAAAGTCAGTGTCCTTCCTTGGCCTTCCAAATCGCCTGATCTGAATCCGATCGAGCATCTATTGGACGAACTTGAGCGACGCGTCCGTAAACGTCACCATCGTCCTCAGACACTTGCAGAACATGTGCAAAAATGCGACGACTTGTGCAATCCCTTCCAAGGCGGTGTCGAGCAGTGATGGATGTAAGAGGTGGTGTCACCAGGTACTGAACCGAACGCCCCCTTGTGTCCACACATGTGCAGTGAATGAACTGAATCAATGCTGACAATGGCAACAATACATGTGTTTATCCGGGTGTCGAATTTCCTCCATCTATGTTAATCGATTTGTGTACACTTAGATACGTTTCATACATTTCCTTTTTGGAGCCTGTGCGTTTCTTTTTTTGAAGAGTGTCTCTAGGACGCATTGCCTCATACTATTAATATAGTCTACGTTTGTCTATAGTACGAGCAATTGTGTATGATTTATTACATGATCGTGTATAGTGTGCCTCAGCGATATATGTAAGTTGATGGAGATCGAGGACGAATATCATTTCATGTGTGCTCACTTTCAGTCAAGTAAAATGTTGTTGTTGCCCATATACCATCATCAATGTCCATCAAGACAAAAACTTGTAGATCTTATACAGAGGAACCCGTTATCGCTATGTAGGTTAAACATTGATATCTACACACACGTCATACATATAAATATAGTATGTATATATATGATGTGTTTGTAGATCTATGGTGTATGTTTAACTTACATAGCGACAACGGGTTCCTTATACTATGTCAAGAACAAATAGCGAAAACGGGAATCCTTAACCATTTATATGAGATATTTACATTATAAGTTGTTCACTGGTCACGAGGGGGTGAGCCAGAAGGGCGAGGGGAACATAAACAAACATCGAGGGTACATCAACCCATGGGTCCCGAGGGACCAGTGAACAACGTATTTATCTTACCGAACACCTTAATGTTAATTTTGAATTGTTTGAAGCACGGGTACAAATCTTTTTGTAGCCATCGCTAGATTTTGCTGACAAGAAAAACATATTTAGAGTTATCTCCCTTCCATCGATTTGCATTCGCGAAACATCGGTAATTTCCGTACATCATACATGATTCAATGTTATTCAAGATAATGAATTACCACCATGAAGTACCAAATGAGTTGCCATTGACAGCGGGGTACATTGAAATGTTACTCTCTTGTAAGCGGGGTACATTGAAAATAATAGAAGAGCGCTCAGCCAATCAGAAAGCGACATTTATGTGTGAGGTAAGATAAATTAAATGATATCACCACAAGCTGCATTAATCATTTATGAGAAAATGCTGTATTCTCATGCTCTGAACAACAACACATCCCTGTGCAATGTGCCTATGACTGTGATCTGGTCCCTTGTTTTCCAACACCGAATATACTGTCTGTCTGCCTTAAAACAACTTACACAGGAAACTGTACGATTTCCTTCGATAAGATATTAGAATATGTGTCTAACATTCTCTTTATTCTTTACCATATGGTTCCTATAGTATCGTCTCTTTCTTGTGGTACTCTTCCTGAATTGTCATAAGGTGTTCAAATAAGTTATTGTGTTAGTAAGGTTCTCAGAACATCTTATAGTAGTATCAGAAACGTATCATTGGCAACAGTGATGCCAACTGCAATTCCATAATCTGACTTTGACTTTTGCAAATATTTGGTATCAGCACTATTTGATAATGATTCATAAATGTGTTTGTGATATATAGTTGGAACCGTGCTGATCATAGAGTCAGTTTTGTCACTTTTATTAAAGTTGACGTATCCATGAATTGGAAGCCCATTAACCATCGGTTATTGTCATTGTGCTTGTGTCAATTCCTCTCCATATACTAAAGCTGTTTCCTCTCTCTATGACACAGCAGTTGCGTTGTTCAATCGAAAAATCAGACATGAAACGGAATGTGGAAGCAAGCAATGTAAAACCTCAGTTTTATCTGTTTTAGTAATCACTGTGTTTGTATTGTTCCGATATGTTTGATCAAATGAATTGCTTCTGTGGGACTGATAGTATCGTGAGCTTTCATATCACCATTTTAATGTTTTCATTAGATACAAGCAACAAAACCATTTCTATAATTATACTTATACTTGGGCTCGTATTTGTGTCATGTATTTAATAAATGCATTTTTAATGTACAATACATGTGATATCGTTGTATGGATTTTGTGAGACTCAAATAAAATAATCTTCTACTTCTTGTTCCTTTCTTCCCTTCATTATGGGGATGGTGGGGTAGCCTAGTGGTTCAAGCGTTCGCCCGTCACGCCGAAGACCCAGGTTCAATTTCCCATATGGGTACAATATGTGAAGCCCATTTCTGTCTCCCGTCGTGATATTGATGGAAGATTAAGCGGCGTAAAACTAAATTCACTCACCCACTCACCTTCACTATATGTAGAACGCCAGTGAAAAAGAGTCCCGATTATCCGGCGAGACAGATTCAATTAGGCGTGAAAGGCAAACTTGAGGTGAATGGTTCAGTGACGACACATGGCGTCAGCTGTCTTTCCCACAAACAAGTGCTTGTTGCCAGACGCTGCTATACCAGGACAGGCTATAGATAATCCAGTCAATCAAGTGATCGATGAATCAGAATACCCAGTGAAAGAACAGGAATATTCCTGGTTAAAATCGAAAAAGGTAAAATTGATAAAGCAGCAGAGATCCTTTGGCAAACGTTGGTGGCAGTTTTATAACGACCCGACAAAAACGAAAAGCACAGTCCGTGCATGATTCCGATTTATCAAATATGTCATACGCAATACATCCTATAGGATTACAAAATACATCAGATATGGCATTACACCACAGATTACCTTAATAAGATTGCTTCTTATATAGTATTACAACACATATTGATTTAATAACATTGCTTGATACATGGCATGACAACACAGATTGCCTCAATGACATTGCTTTATATATGGCTTTACAACACAGATTGCCTTATTAACATTAAGTTAAAAGGTCACGAGTGAGTTTAGTTTTACGCTGCACTCAGAAATACATGTATTCCCTTTCTTGTGGTACTCTTCCTGAATTGTCATAAGGTGTTCAAATAAGTTGATATGGTTACAGCATTCAATGTGTTAGTAAGATTCTCAGCACATCTTATAGTAGTATAAGTGACGTATCATTAGCAACAGTGATGCCTACTGCAATTCCATAATTTGGTATCAGCACTATTTGATAATGATTCATAAATGTGCTTGTGATATACATGTAGTTGGAACCGTACATTTAGTGGAGATTTCCACTGATTATGGAATCGGTTTTGTCACTTTAATCAAAGAGTTTAGTTTTACGCTGCACTCAGCAATATTCCAGCTATATGGCGGCGGTCTGTAAATAATCGAGTCTGGACCAGACAATCCAGTGATCAACAGCATGATCATCGATCTGCGCAATTGGGAACTGATGGCATGTGTCAACCAAGTCAGCGAGCCTGACCACCCGATCCCATTAGTCGCCTCTTACGAAAAGGACACGAAGACAGCAGATTATATTAATAAATGTCGAATATCAAAAGTACAAAATGTCTTCAAAACTGTGTTGTTAAGAGTTGCACATATTTCAAATAGTTCCTCCCACATTTTGAATGGACAAACTGGGAAAATGGTTTCACCTTTTTCACTCTCTTGATACTCGCCAATTACTCAATAAATATATCTTGATGGAACTCAAGTCTCTATTTGAAAACATAAGTACGTATACCCGAGTGGTATGTGTAGTAATGACTTTATCATTAACAAGTGTTTGTGACTTACCATATCATAAAGGGTTGTAGGGTAGCCTAGTGGTTAAAGCGTTCGCCCGTCACGCCGAAGACCCGGATTCGATTCCCTACATGGGTACAATGTGTGAAGCCCGTTTCTGGTGTCCCCCCGCCGTGATATTGCTGGATATTGCTAAAAGCGGCGTAAAGCTATACTCACTCACTACCATATCATAAGCATGTTAATGAAATTACCTTATCATAAGAATGCGTTTAAGAATAGCATGTGTTAGTATTATGAATAAATAATATACATTTGATATAAATTAACGGCATGTGTTTAAGGATAACTATGTCATAAACATATGTTTATGAATATTAGGATGTATGTGTTATGTCAATAGGCCCTGGGGTATTATTGCCACGAACATATGTGTCCTCGTGTTCATCAAAAGAAATTCTGTAATTCCAAAAAATGTTTTCCACAGATTTTGGTCAAAAATTGAAATACAAAGGTCCAGTGTAGATTTAAAAATTAGATTTTAACACCAACGCTGGTCTGAATGTGACGTAAGATGAAAGAGACACTTATACAGTCTATTAACCAAGATATACTCTCCCAAAAAAGAAACGCATATA